AATTTTGGGTAGGCGGCCTCACCGGTTGACGGAGAATGACCCATATATATTGTGTTTTGAAAAATTATATGTGTATGTACGAATGCAGCAGGTAATCTACAGGGTGCTCCGCAACATATTGAAGACCGGTCATGGGAAGGTAGAGGGGACTAAGACAAACAGAAAAGTCCTGTACTATTTTGCGCTTGGACGAATAGTTATCGAGATACTGAATTTTAAAAATCGACGTATTAGCCCAACCTACTGGCGAATGTAAGCGCGCGGTGAGTAGCGACCATGAAGTAAGAGTAAGGAGACGTATCTTGATAGGTGTAGAGCGGAAAAAGTGGTCACGAAAAATGTTCCGTATGTGGCCAGGTTCGTCGAACGGAATGACTTGGACCATTTCGTCGCCATCTTGAAATTGTAACGACAGATGAGACGAAAAGGTTAGAAATGCGTGGTTACGCGCGTGGTATATATTATGTGAATATTTATTGTATAATGACAAGAATTGGAATAAATATGACAAATTGTATTAAAAAATAAAATTATATATTTCTCTCTTTTATTTATTATATATATTATTTCATTATAAAATCAAAGGAATAAAAGGGCTAAGAGCCTTGACTATATAGGTGTTAGTGTCACAAAGTTAAAAATTTAGTATATTTAATACATAAAACTTACAGACGTTTCGGTCTTTATTTAGACCATCCTCAGTCCATCCTCAAAAAAATAATCGGACGAGAATAGACAACGAATACTTGACGCTATAACGTATCCCGTGTTACAAGAAGCTGCGAATCCAGATAAACGCGGATTTCAACGCTATGCTCACTAGAATTTTTCTTCTTATTTCACATTACAACTGTTTATGAAAAATCAACCGATCCTCGCTGCCGGTTAAGAGTGCGGCAGCGCAGATACGGTGCAGATCTTGCGATTTCATGTCAATTTAATGTTCATCATAGAGTATTTGCCCTTGTGGAACGGAGCACGTTGCTTCGAAATTATCATCCACCCTGTATCATTTTGAACCGTCTTGCGATACGTATTTTTTTTTCCTAACATTGCCGCACGCGGGCTCGATAACTTTACAAACGTGTAAGCTATATTTTGTTTTTCCTCTTAATATGTGTCACAGCCCTCGTGGCTATAGAACACAATACAACTACGTAGATTCTTTATAAGACAATCGACTCCACGTTGAGACGGAGAATCACATAAAAAAAATATCAGTTTAACGTTAAAAAAAAGATGGAAAAAGAAGGGAACCTCACGGAACTCGGCTTACATGCTAAGATAACCGCGGGCCTGACTTCGTCTGCGGCCAACGAGGTATGCGATCAATACGATTACAACCAAGCCCGCCAGCGCACAGCCCACATGGGAACGTCGGATCGAACGAACAGTCCTTGGCTAGGCCGAAGATAGTTGAGTTATCACCTCGGAACGCTTGAAATTGTAATTT